CGACGTACGGGCGTGCCTCTGGCGTCCTTTCACTCCCACCTGAGGAAGACGCTACACACGATCGAGCCGTGTCGCCACGCCCGGGTAGCGAAGGGTCGGAACGAACGGTCGTTCTAGTGGAGACCGAGGCTAAGACCGCGCCTCTAAGGGGGAGGAAAGCAGGAGCCTAGAACCGGAGTGCAAGAGCATACGATAGTGACCCGAGAATGGAGCGTCCCACCTACCAGGGAAAGGTCACTCCCCAGAGAGTTGCTCTATAGACGTACGGAGGGAGTCTGCCTCGTGTTCTACCTCCCACCTTGATGAAGACCTGACCAACATCAGGCCTCGTCTCACGCGCGGTAGCGAGGTCGACGAGACGGGTCGCTTTCTAGTCTGCGACGGACTAGACCCCCCTAAGGAAGAAACAGGACCTAGAACCGGAAGCGTGGCAAGAGTTACGAACAGTTGACCCGAGCGGCTGAAGTTCCCACTACCTAGAAAGGTCAGCTCCCAGCAACCTGGCTTCTAGGACGCGTAGCGGAGGGGGATTCTTGGCCTTCGGTTCTACCTCCCACCTGAGAAAAACCTGACAACAATCAGCCGTGTCCCACGCCGGTAGAAGGTCTGACGAACGGTCTGTTTCTAGTTGGAGACGACTAGGACGCGCCCCTAAGGGAGGAATGAGGGACCTAGAACCGAAGTGGCTAAGAGGTTACGGACAGTGACACCAGTTAGGGGTGGAGGTCTCACCTACTAGAAAGGTCACTCCCACAGAAGTTCTTCTAGGACGTACACGGAGGGTGCCTCTGCGTCCTGGTTCACTTCCCACCTGGCGGAAGACCTAAACATTCAGCCTGTCCCACGCCCTGTAGAAGAGGTCGACGCGAACGGCCTTCTAGTCTGCGGACGACTACGACCCTAAAGGGTAGGGAATAGGACCTAGAACCAAAGTGGTGCAAGAAGATACGAGTAGTGAGCCCCGGAGTTGGAGGTCTCACTACCAGAAAACGGCCATCTCCCAGGGGGAAGTGCTTCTAGAACGTTACGGAGGTGCCGTCTGCGTCCTGGGGCTTCACTTGCCCACCTAGGAAGAGCCTAACAAGACATGCTAGCTCTCTTCCGCGGTAGAAGGTCGACGAACGGCCGCTTCTAGTTGGGAGACGACTAGACCCCGCCTATGGAAAGAACTTAATAGTCTATGTGTGCCGTAGAACCGGTAATAGTTGCAAGAGGTTACGACGAGTAGAGCCCGAGTTGCAAGGTCTCACTACCCAGAAGGTCAGTTCCAGAATGTGCTTCTAAGACTACAGATGGAGGTGCGCGGTCGGGTTCTACTCCCACCTACCGGTGACGGAAGACCTAGCAACATGCTAGCCTGTCGGACCAAGCCGGGGTAGAAGGTAACCAAAAGGCCGTTTCTAGTGTGGAGGACGGACTCGCTGAGTGGACCTCCCTACTGCGAAGAAGACAGGGGAAGTCCTTGAAGAACCGGAACCTGTAAAGTTACCACAGTAACGGACGGTGGGAGGGTTCCACTACCAGGAAGGGTTCACTCGCCAAAAGCTGTTCTAGACGTAACAACTGTGACTTCTCTTCTTCTTTTTGGTACGTAATGTCACTAGTCTTACATGAGGAGTTCTGATCAATAGTGTTTTTTACCAAGTGGGGTATCTAAGACGTAAATTCTTTGCATTAATTTTTATTCGATGGAAAACTCGTCTTGCATGAACTAACAGAATCACTTTTACAAGTGAGAAGTTCATAATTAATAAGAGAATCATGTTAAAGCATTATGGACGAAACGAAACCCAAAAAATAAAGTTTGATCGACCATGTCTTAAAAAATACATAGTAATTGCCCTCTAACCATACAATCTGACTAATAAGTAAGAACCACGATACAATATTACAGCAGTCTATAAGGAGATGTTTATGTCCATAACGCAGCAAGGTCTAATAAAAATTGTCTACGGCAAAGAACATTTTTTTATATATGATGCATAAAGCATTAAGAAGCAGTTTGGACAACGAAAACCCGCCATTTATTCAGGTAGATACATGTAGTAATTTGTGTATACGACAGTATTAAATCTCATAAGGAAGACACCGTAGTTAACGATTCATTTTTTTTTTTAAGGGACTGCGAGCTTTCATTTTGTGGGTAAGAAGCTCAGACTCGTACTGGCTTCCGTAAAATTGTCGATTAGGTTAGAAGACCCTCACTGGAAAGACCATCACTCTGGAGGTTGAGCCCAGTGATAGCATAGAGAACGTGAAGGCCAAGATCCAGGACAAGGAGGGAATCCCCCCAGATCAGCAGAGGTTGATCTTTGCTGGCAAGCAGCTGGAAGATGGCCGCACCCTGTCCGACTACAACATCCAGAAGGAGTCCACCCTTCACTTGGTCCTGCGTCTCCGTGGAGGCATGCAGATCTTCGTGAAGACCCTCACCGGAAAGACCATCACTCTGGAGGTTGAGCCCAGTGATAGCATAGAGAACGTGAAGGCCAAGATCCAGGACAAGGAGGGAATCCCCCCAGATCAGCAGAGGTTGATCTTTGCTGGCAAGCAGCTGGAAGATGGCCGCACCCTCTCTGACTACAACATCCAGAAGGAGTCCACCCTCCATCTTGTGCTCCGTCTCCGTGGAGGAAACTAATCCCCCTCTCTAAAGAAGTCTACAGAAAGCCACCCGTCTATACCAGGGTTGAATTTACAATTTTTGCTCTGCCTGTCAGTCATTCCCTTTTTTTTTCCTTCATTTTTTAAAGTTTAAATAAAGATTGAGCATTCCTGACTTTTGCATTTTACTTTAAATGATTTAATTGAGACTGGTTTAGCTGACAGTGTGTTCATGGGGTTCCACAATTTGATTGATGGTAATTTATTAAACGGAAAATACATAAGCATGATGTAAACGTATAGGATCAAAGTATGCATAGATAAAAGTTCACTATCGGGTAATACATATAATGTTGACTGTTTTTCGACAAACCCCCCAGAATGGAGCCGCTGAAAATATTGCTGTGACAAATGTTGGTAACTAATAAAATGACTTGAACTGTCACCCACTCTCTGACATTATTTTTAAATTAACACCTTACACTCGGTACATCCTACATTTTGCAGCACTGCTAATTTAAAATAACTCACTATTAATTATCTGGGTTTCAAGTTATTAAAGTAATGTTTGTCCATGAGACACTATCTGCTTTTCTGTTAAACAGTACTTCACTATGATATTTCAGTTTGCTAGTAGGTTAAAATATCACACTCTTGCAGATGTTATGGAAAAATATTGGCATCCCCATCTTAATATGGATGTGTGGAATATGCAGAATTATTACTGTAATAGTTGTATCACGTTTCAATATTTTAAAAGTACCTTAATTTAGAAACATTACTATAATTTGGAGTTATATATAATTGTTTGATGCTCCTTCTGGGAAGTGACGCTCCTGAGATGCTACGTCATCAACAGATGCTAAGTGCTAACTAAAGAGCTAGCTGTTTAGCTTTCTGCGTTTATTGGGGTACTTTTAGCTTTAGTCAGGAGGTTTACTGGTATGATGGTTGTACTGGGAATTGCACCTGTGTGTTAACTTTTACCAAGGGGAGTAATCCATGGATGTATAATAAGAACTGGATACATCGTGGGAGGCGGAGCCGCGTTCATTCCTGAGAGTTGCTCATTGGCGCATGAAGACAAAATGGCCCCACTTTTGAGAGAGCAAAACGTCACGAAAGTATTAATATATTCATATAATCCGTTTTTATTGTGCATCCATTCCCGGCATTTGTTCAGTAGGTTCAGTACTACATGAGTTTTACCTTTACTCATGGATGCACAATAAAAACGGATTATATGAATACTTTCGTGACGTTTCGATCTCTGGGCCATTTTGTCTTCATGCGCCAATGAGCAACTCTCATAGGAATGAACGAGGCCCCGCCTCCCACGCTGTATCCAGTTCTTATTATACATCCATGGTATGTGCGCTCATAGAGCATGTGCAGTTGAGTTGCCCCTTAAGCCCCGCCCCCCGAGCTCCCACTCAGATGCGCGTTCATAATGCCGAGAAAAATAACTCTCAGAATAACGTTATTAGCACATTTTACAACTTGAGGACCAAATGTTTTTAATAAGGGCAATACAAATGTTGATACTGGGTAGTTTATTTGGTTAAAAGACAAATATCCAACGATTTACAGACGTCTCTTTCCCAATGTTAGTCAATGGGAAAAAGTCTTTCTGGGCCGAGGGACATCACGGACTGATACGGAAGTTGCAGTAACGCTATTTGGACACAACGAATATTTTCCTCAGAGTCCGGCGCACTTCCTGGGGGCTTGTAAAAGGCTAACTAATTTCCGGGTTTCTGGACTCATCCCCAAACCACTCTATAGCTGGGATATACGAGCTGTACAAGCTGTTCCCTTCTCCGATTTGTCTTCTGAAAATGATTTCCTCTGCCTTCCTTTGAAGTACGTTCCTTTTTGTCTTTTCGTTAACTATGTTTTTCTTTATTTACCCGCTCTCTCTCTGTGTGTATTTTGCCTTCTGCTTGTTTGTCTTCCTCTCTGCTCATAAAGCCATCTCCTCAGCACCGTTTGGTGTGTCTCTCGTGCCCCAGAGTTTCATAAAATGATGTTGCTCATATAAAGGAAATTACCATAATTTTTGTTTATCATAGGCTGAAATTGCAGGAAACATACTTTTTTTCTACAGTTTGTTTCCTGTTCTGGCTTCACTTAATTTCTATAACCTCCCACACAATCTCTCTTCCCTTGTAGAGTTTCTGTTCGACCGCCTGGCCGGTAGCAGCAGTGGTGGGCTGCTGTGGCCAGCCTACAGCTGTCTGTTGTTACTGATAGACAACCCACTCTTCTTCTCCCAGTGTCACTCTGTCTACGGTGAGGCAGCTTAACACATCAGCTCCTGTTCTTTATGTGTGTGTGTGTGTTAATTATGAATGCGATACTCACTGTAAAACTTTAATTTTGGGATTCATGGCACATCTGTTAACATCTAAAAATAATTGCAATTGGATAATTAATGGAAAGACTGGTCATGTGACAGCATATACACAAAACTCTGCTCTAATTTCTCAAACACTCACAGCCCCACCCTCAAACTGTAGATTTTGTAGGCATTTGCATCCATTATATTACACTACCTTTTGTTTAGCAGATGCTTTTTAATCCAGAGTAACATACAATTAGTGCGATCAACCTTCAGATGTATTTCAAGGCCAGAGAACCTATTAGTAATCACATAAATGCAAAACAAATAGTTTAAATTCCTTATGAACGGCAATAAATGTCAAGTGGTGCAGGGAAAGCTAATGGAAGCTAAATATTTTTCCATCGGATTATGAAATATCGAAAGTGCTTGAACCCTGCTGCACTTTCTGCAGTATTGTTCTGCATATGCAAGAGACACTTGCAGTATAAACTTAATTTACCAATACAATCTTCGTGCTACTAGCTTCTTGCTTTAGGTAAAAAACAAACACGCGATTTTTACAGCATACGCGGTGTCGCAGTAAATTAGATAAGATGTACCACTGTCACCGTTTGTTTTACATGGATGATTTTGGTGTATGTGCATGCCTTGTATTACATTTATGAGTGTGTGTTTGTGTGTTAGGCATTGAGTCTCTGGTGCGCAGTCTGAACGAGGCTCTGCTGCTGACCGACCTGGCGGTGCCGACACAGGGTCTGCTGCTCCTCACTGAGATACTGGACAGGTGAGACCGCTCTGTGATGATTTGGCTCCCTTGAAAAGCTTGCTGCACTGAGCTTCTTTGCTCACTGACTAAAACTAATTTCACTAAACTTCAGCTTCTCTGCACTTCAGAGTACTTTGATCCACAACAGGGTGTACTGTGGTGTACTCAGCTGCAGCAAAATGAAATAATGGTTCCCTTTTTTTAGGCGTCTAGGGTTTTCCATGCTGACATTTAGTTCTAAAGGTTCCTTTTCAATTACTTGCAAATGCTATTTTCTTATGGGTATAGTAAAAGGTCAGTTTAGATGAATCACATAACACAGTTGAGAGTTTATTTATTTATTTATTTATTGAGGTGTTCAGTATATTACTGCTGAGACCTCCTTGCACTGAAAAGAAGTGAAAATTAACATGTGTCTTTATGCAGTGAGATGTCTTCGATAAAACTATGTACTGGTTATCTCGAGGTAAAAGTAAATTAATCAATTAAAAAATACACTTTTAATTGAAAAGGCACCAGTCTTAACGCGTCTCGTAAATCCGCTTTTATTTTTTCGCAGTCAAATGTACACTTATGGTTTTAATGATGTCGGATGACAGCAAGCACCAGACTATGGTGTCGCATTAAATAACATTAACACTCTCTGTCGACACTGAATCTGCTTTATATGCACTTCTGTTACCTACCAATCAGCTCTGACTGCAGAAGTAAAGATGGCTGAGACTTGGTCAGTGTATGTATTGGTCATTGGATTTTCTTTTCACAAAAGGATATTCAAAAACAAAAAACGACTGGACATTTAATTTTCGATTTAATATTGAAAAATGCGTTTTTCTTTATCATGGTCAAAAAGGGATTTACTAAACTTAAAAAACTGGATGATTTTCATTTTCTACTTCTCAAAACAAAAAATAAAATCACTTAAACAGAAACAAAAAAAAATACAGTTTTTTTATATTCTGCTACCGGAAGTTACCTTACAAAATAAGAGCGTTGATGAGGACGGGATCCGTGTATCTACCGTCCATTTGTTTTTCTTTATTAACCCTTAAGAGTTCCTAGGTACATTTTTCAGCCATTGAGGTTTTGATTTTCATGTCATTTTGGCTGTGTTGAATGAATACAGGACTGTCTCAGAAAATTAGAATATTGTGATAAAGTTCTTTATTTTCTGTAATGCAATTAAAAAAACAAAAATATTCTAATTTTCTGAGACAGTCCTGTATTCATTCAACACAGCCAAAATGANTCTGTGTCAGCCTCAGAGTCCACGGAGGAGGATGAGGAGCCATCCTCGCAATCAGAGTGCATGATAATCTCCAGAGCCTCCTGTGTGCCGAATGCCTTGCCATCTCCAGGATGACTACTCCTGCACTAATACTAATACTTCTAACCATGGCTGCACCTGCATAAACAACCTGAGCGAGAACCAAAACAAAGTCCAATTTTGTTTTGATTCTCGCAAGTCATTGTTTTATTATTGAATTTGATTATTACGCAGTGTGGCCTTCTAAGAGAAAATCATTTTTGAAGTTGCAAACACGCACACGCACACGCACACGCACACACACACACACATACACACACACACACACACACACACACACACACACACACACACACCATTATCCAACATCAAAAGTGACACACACTTATCATTTCAGTAGCACCCTTGCAGAAAACAGTAAAAAATGTGAAATGTTGCTGCATGCTTCAAAGGGTTAAAATTATTGCCATCTTGTAGACACATGTAAAAATAAAAAATTGAAAGCCAGTATTCCAAAATGAAATCTTAACAAAGGAATTCAAGAGTTTATGATAAGATAAATGTGGGGTCAAAAAAAGCATTTTCAATGGGTCATTTTCTGCCGCTAGGAACAAATGTGTCAGTTTGTGTGTAGCTTAGCCCTTTTAGGCTAATTTAAGGAACTGAGACGACAATTCAAAATACAACTAATAAAGAATATCCTCTGATAAGTTTGAGCTATACTGTATTCATTCAACACAGCCAAAATGACATGAAAATCANAGACCAATGTTATAATAAAAATACATACTGTATGTTAAATGGATATATCCGCCTTCTTTCATTTATCTTTCCATTCCCACAACAATATACTTAAAGAAATGGCATATTTTGGACACAGTTCGAATGGTGATTAATCATGATTAATTAATTTTTAAGCTGTGATTAATCTGGTTAAAAATGTTAATCGTTTGACAGCCCTACTTTAAAATCAACCTATACCTGGCATACGAAACCTTTAAGCTTTCCTGTCCTGGACAAACGAATGATAGGTTGGTCTTTTAGGAGATTATTCTCCTGCAAGAGCCAGCTAATTATCGTTGTTAAGGGCAACGGTTACTGAACTAACCGAAAAGGGAAGTGCTTCTAAAATCCTGGTAGAAAAATCACAAGTTGAAAGAAATACAAATAATTATGGTCCTCTTCATTGTGCGAGAGAACGTCGCCAGTGTGCCACATTCGTAAAGTCAGCCAATATGCCAAAAATGTAATTAATCCAAATCACCAAAATGTTTATTTCTAGAAGTTGCATTATACTGTGTAAACGTCGTGCGTGCGTGCGTGCGTGCGTGCGTGCGTGCGTGCGTGTGGCACTCCCACCCTGCCAAGGAGTCACAGAGCACCGCAACGGACGGGTTCCAACAGAGAACAAGGGAAAGTCACACACATCAAACAAACTGTCAAGATTCGGAGGGGAACATTTCCCCATGCAATTAATCAGGGCAGGAGGGAAATGGTAATAGCCTGGTGTCAAGGAGTCCATTTAAACCCATCAAGTTTGGTTGTTTCAAGCTGGATGCTTTAGATGATTTATGAATGCTTGTACAAAGCAGTGTTAAGCAGTCCTTACAGTATTTGCAACAGAGTACATAAAAAACGAAGGTGATATAAATATTTATTGAACTTTTGATTCCTCAATGTACGTCTGTGACACTCTTTCAGGGGGTCAAAGAAAAGTTTCAGTTTAATTCACATACACTTTTTATGATATAAGCAATTCAATTCATTTCTTGTAGCAAAAAGCTCAATAGTTTACCAATGATTTAATTTTTAAATACAAAAAAGGTTATAGATTACTTTCTAATCCTAAAAACATGTAACTAAGTGTCTTTACATAAATACATTTAGCTTGTGTTTTTCTGTCACATAGGATAGAAACTTTGCTACATTAGATTGTTACATACAAGTGGGGGTCCCCGTTATTTTCTCTATTTTTGAAAGGGTTATTGACCTTAAAAACCTCTGTCTTACGAAATGTAAGGCTGTCTTTTAAAATACAACAATGTACTCTGTTTTGTTTTCCTTTCTCCACATATGACCCTTAAAGCCAACACTTAAGAGTGTATATATATATATATATTATATTTTGAGGAATTTTCTTTGGACCGTGGTCCACATGATAACTGATCATTAACCTCAACATAAGTGCAGAGTCTCTGCACTTATGTTGAGGTTAATGATCAGTTATCATGTGGACCACGGTCCAAAGAAAATTCCTCAAAATATAATATATATATTAGGGCCGGGACTCGATTAAAAAAATTAATCTAATTAATTACAGGCTTTGTAATTAATTAATCGAAATTAATCGCATTTTTATTCACATATAAATATTTGACCTGAGAACAGTGAGAAGC